CCCCAGGCTCATCCGTATACATATGCTAAAGTTCTACACACGTCTCTGAACTATAGGCCTCTCCAGCTGCATGTGCTAAGGCCTGTGCAATTCTACACAGTTCTAAAATTCTACACAGATTCTAAGAGCTGTAAGCCAACATGGGTTCATGAAGTGCAGGCCTATTAGTGTCTGTAACGTACAGGCTTATTTATGCCTATAAGGGATGAGCTAATGCACGTCTATGAGGTTTAGGTTTCTATGCAGCTATGCATAGCACACTCTGCAAATGCCTTGGTAGTGTCCCCCTTACCCCCGCCGCCATGAAGCCAAGAAATTCACTGAATTATCGCAAGAAGCTTCCATCTGAGATGCCTCCAACTCAAGAGAAACTCTGTCATTAGACCACGAGGGCCCAAGTGAAAGGTACACGCAAGCATACACGTACGTAAAACGATTTCCTGGAAGTCTGAGGGAGAATTCTCCGTGAAACGTAGACTTAGTCATAGGTGAGCTCTTTCTTGTGTGAGGAACTTAAAAGAAAAGAATACAGACAATCTTTCTGACGAAGCTTTGGAAGCCATCAAATCAAAGTCACTTGTCTGGGGACTATTTTGAATGCTTCTACCTAAAAGAAAAAAAAGACTTGGTATCGTTCCCGGTCAGCACTTAGCTTTACTGCCACGATCCGGACTTCAGTTCTTTACCTCTGCCTTGTCCTAAAAGAGAAACAATCAGGATCATTTGTGCCTCTGGGGGTGATATGTGATTAATGAAGCTCAAATATTCTAAAGAAGGAAATCTGAGGCCTAATACAACTGACAGATGCTGCAAACAGCCGCAGTCTACGTTTCTTACGGTCACCATCTTCTCAAACACCCTGGTTAGGTCACGGGTTCACTTTATCTGGCAAGGCACAGAGTCTGCTCAGGTTACTATGGTCATGTCAGAGAGGCAGCCAAAACGCACCCACACATTATTCATAACACACACGAAATATCTTCCTAGGACTTTCATGGAATGGCATTTTTTTCTTTCCACATTCTTTTTTTTTTTTTTGGACAGGCAGAGTGGACAGTGAGAGAGAGACAGAGAGAAAGGTCTTCCTTTTCCGTTGGTTCACCCCCCAAGTGCCCACTACAGCCAGCACACTGCACCGATCCGAAGCCAGGAGCCAGGTGCTTCCTCCTGATCTCTCATGCAGGTACAGGGCCCAAGGACCTGGGCCATCCTCCACTGCACTCCCTGGCCACAGCAGAGAGCTGGCCTGGGAGAGGAACAACTGGGACAGAATCTGGCGCCCCAACCGGGACTAGAACCCGGGGTGCAGGCACCGAAGGCGGAGGATTAGCCTAGTGAGCCGTGGAACCAGCCCTTCCAGATTCTTATAACCAGTTTCCAGCAGCTAGCACAGCATGTGTCACTAAAAAGGCATCTACAGATGACCACAGAATAAAATTTTATCTCATTTATCATATATGCAGATAGTAATCTTTTATGACTTCTAAAAATATCTTCCAAAACACTTCTGAGAAAATCCTACATAGTTTTCAACTCAGAAGAGAGAGCTAAGACGGGCGAAGAACTCTGTTTTTCTGCTTTTAAGCTAATTTTCCATCATTTGCAGATCACTCAACCTTCACATGTTCACAGAAAGAACTACAATTACCCAGCTTGGCTTCTTATGGAGACTTTGCTTTATCCTCACTGCAAATATGTTCTGGGGCCATCGAAAGTTTTGTCATATCCTCCTTTTGTAATCTGAGGGGTCAGAGATATTTTGTCTGCCCAGAGCTCCACTGAGGGGTGCTCTGGATCAGCCGTGTTGGCAGTAGGAGCCCCAAAGTAGGCTTGTTTTCTGGGGTCAGAAACTCTAAAGAAAAGGCAACCTCAGTTCCCTGGGTGAGTCCTCCCCACTAGCACCTGCCAGCCCCCAGGGGAAGAGAGAAGAAGCAGTGGGGGTGTGATAAGCCCCAACTTAACACAGTCGTTTAAATTCCTGTGCAAATCCAGATCTTTATTTTGTTCTGGACAAAGGTGGTTCACTGGCACAGTTGCTAGGACAGCCTGCCTAACCTGGAACTGCAGCAGGTACAACGGCAGGTCCAGCCAGCTGCCATGGCTGGTGGGCAACCCTCTGTGTACAAGTCCGTCTTTAGGTCTCCATTTCCTTACGTGCTAAAGGAGAATAAGAATATCTGCCTGGCTGATAGGAGATGATTTTTTTTAAAAGATTTATTTATTTATTTATTTATTTGAAAGAGTTACACAGAGAGAGAGAGAAAGAGAGAGAGAGAAGAGAGAGAGAGAGAGAGTCTTTCATCCAATGATTTATTCCCCAACTGGCCATAACGGTCGGAGCTGTGCCAGGAGCTTCTTCCAGGTCTCCCACATGGGTTAAAGGCCCAAGGACTTGGACCGTCTTCCACTGCTTTCCCACGACACAGCAGAGAGTGGGATTGAAGTGGAGCACCTGGGTCTCATACTGGTGCCCATATGGAATGCTGGTGCTTCAGGCCAGGTGTTAACCCGCTGTGCCACAGCGCCAGCCCCGCAGACGATTTTAAGAATCAGCCCTTAAGGCATGCAGATCCGGCTGAAAAGCCCATGAGAGTATTTCAGGCATGGAAAGCCAAGACACTCTGGGGAAAAAAAAAAAAAAAAAAAAAAAACCTAAATGAAAGATCTCTGTGAGTGAGATCCCAGTGGAAAGAACGGGTCATCAAAGAAGGAGGTACCTTTCTCTGAAGGGAGGAGAGAACTTCCACTTTGACCATGGCCTTGTCTAAATATGATCAGAGTCAGTGAACTGAGGGGGCTTCCATAGCCTTGGCAGCTCATGACAAGAGCCTAGGCTGATTACTGACGCCATAAACAAGAGTGGCAATTTGTTAAGTCAACAACAGGAGTCACTGTGCCCTTACTCCTTATGTAGGATCTTTGTCCTTAGTGTGCTGTACATTGTGATTTAATGCTATAACTAGTACTCAAACAGTATTTTTCACTTTATGTTTCTGTGTGGGAGCAAACTGTTGAAATTTTTACTTAATGTATGCTAAACTGATCTTCTGTATATAAAGAGAAATGAAAATGAATCTTGATGTGAATGGAAGGGGAGAGGGAGTGGGAAAGGGGAGGGTTGTGGGTGGGAGGGAAGTTATGGGGGGGAAGCCATTGTAATCCATAAGCTGTACTTTGGAAATTTATATTCATTAAATAAAAGTTTAAAAAAAAAGAAACCAATGATGCAATGCTTATTAAAGCACTTTGATAACCTAAAGACTATAGCAACTGAAGTTGTCAATATTGTGCCTAATAAAAAGATGGGTCTCATTAATATTTATACTACAGGTTGGGTATCCCTTAACTCAAATGCTTGGGAACAGAAGTGCTTTGAATTTCAGATTTCTTCTAAATTTTGGAATAATATTTGTATGTATACACATAATGAGATATCCTGGGGATAAGACCCTAGCTTACACACAAATTCATTGATGTTCTTTATATGCCTTATTCACAGAACCTCAAGGCAATTTTAGACAACATTATTAGTGTGCCTGCGCTTTGATTGTGTGTGACCTGTCCCATGAGATCAGGTGTGGAATTTGCCATTTGTGGCATCTTTTCAGAGCTCAAAAAAGTTTTGGATTTTGTAGCATTTCACACTTGGAGTTGCCAGATTAGGGCTGCTCAACCTGTAGCATCTGCCCAAGCAAGTCATGCAAACCTGCAAGAATCCAAAGGAGCAGAAGAAAGGGGTTCCTCCATCCTAACAGAAGGCATTTATTTATTTATTATTAATTATTTAATATATAAAATTTTTACATACTTTTTGTATCGAAAAAATCTACCACTCTGGCAAAACTTTGGATAATCATTGATTGTAGATTCTATATCATAATATTTACATTCAGAAAGCATTATGTGGGCAGCCATTTGGCATGCCAGTTAAGATGCTATTTGGGATGCCCACATCCCCTGTCCTATCAGAGTGCTGGGTTCAAGTCTCAGCTTCACTTACTATTCCAGTTTTCTGCTAATGTGCACTCTACGAGGTACCAGATGATGGCTCAAATCGTTGAGTCCCTGCTACACAGAGAGGAGACCCAGACTGAGTTCCTGGCTCCTGGCTTTGGCCTCTGGCCCATCCCTGCCTGTTGTGGGCATTGGGGGAATGGAGCAGTGGATGGCCGTGCACGCATGCTCTCTCTCTCTCCCTCTCTGCCTTTCAAATAAATAAAATTTTAAAAAGCAGTAAGTTCTATTTAGGTCATTATTTTCCAGATTGAATATTCTACACGTTCACTTCAAAATGCAACCTGTTGGATGTTTAGGCTAACTGGAAGATCATCAGTTTATGTGGAAAAGATCTGACTTTCATTCATTGTAAGCTCAATTCAAACCAATGGCACACTTAGGCTATCAAAAAAAAAAAAAAGTAAGTCTTTGGCTTCATTGATGAAAGTCTAGCCTTGAGGATGCTGGAGAAAGCTGGTTTTCCATGTTCAGCACAGGTCAGTCTATTCATGGGGCACTCATCCAGGACTCCCTAGATTCAGTCCAGACAGAGATGATGAGGCCACCAGTGGCTTGGAAATTATGTCATGCCTGCAGAGGTGGAAATAAGTGGGGATATTTAGACTGGATAAAGGAGACATTACACTTATCTTTCCAAACCTGTGGAAAAGAGAATGAGTTCCAAAAGTTAAGACAGGAATAGATGGAAGTTTACAAGGACAAAGGTTTGCATCAATGTGTCGACTCTTTCCAGCATTCAGACTTAGAAATAGCACAGGGTGCAGTGCGAGTGGATGAGCTCCCCGTCACTCACAGGGCTCATGCAACAGCTGGGATCTTCCTTGACAGAGACTGGCCAATGAGCTAGATGGAGGATTTCCAAATGCTATTCTGCGGCACACCAGGAGGCCCCACAGTACAGTCAGGGGACTGGGGCTGCTCTGTTCCATCACACTCCAGCCCTCAACTGCCCAGAGCAGATCTGCTTTTTATTTGTGTGTGTGTGTGTGTGTGTGTGTGTGTGTATGTGTGTGGTTGTTATGGTGCTTTTACTTGCTTGCTTATTTCATGTAAGGGCTCTGAGATATATGTATTTTGGGAAAAAAATGGATTGGGAGAAAGTTCTCCTAAAAGATCTGTTTGAAAACCACTGATCTCAAGGGTTCTTTTTTCATGTCCAAGTTTCCACAAGTGAATGGTTTTAGAGTTGGGGAAGATGTCCACTGCGCATATCCCCACCCTCATCCCAAGTTTCCTACTGTCCAGTTCTCACATTAATTCTCAACTGCATCCTTTCAAACTGGAAACAGGAAACACCTGGGACTGATTGGGCTTCAAAGGCTGCGCTTTCTGTGTAAACTCGCAGTCAGTCAGAGGTTTGAGATATTTAAGTACTTGATTAAGAAAACTTGTCAACAATAACCAAACTATTACTGCCGAGGATAAAGTGCAATTTGAACAATAAATACATGGCTCTGTTTTTTTTTTCTTAAATCCATGTCCAGAAAAACCATTTTTCAGATGAATCTAAAAATACAAAGGCTGAGTTAAAGGACTAAAGTGAAATTTGCCTATGAGTCTTCATTTGTGTTGTGCAGGATTTTTATTTTTATTTTTATTTTTATTTTTTTATTTTTTGACAGGCAGAGTGGACAGTGAGAGAGAGAGACAGAGAGAAAGGTCTTCCTTTTGCCGTTGGTTCACCCTCCAATGGCCGCCGCGGCCGGCGCGCTGCGGCCGGCGCACCGCGCTGATCCGATGGCAGGAGCCAGGAGCCAGGTGCTTTTCCTGGTCTCCCATGGGGTGCAGGGCCCAAGCACCTGGGCCATCCTCCACTGCACTCCCTGGCCACAGCAGAGAGCTGGCCTGGAAGAGGGGCAACCGGGACAGAATCCGGCGCCCCAACCGGGACTAGAACCTGGTGTGCAGGCGCCGCTAGGCGGAGGATTAGCCTAGTGAGCCGCGGCGCCGGCTGTTATGCAGGATTTTAAAATTTCACTACAGTTTTCTCCTAGGCATCCTCATTAGATGAACAACCTTCATAATTTGACTGATTGGTACATCCTGTTGTATAAGCCTGAACATATTTCCTTCACTTATGTATCCTTGTCATGGTGGTCGTAATGATTCTTTAAAATGTTTTACAATAACCAGATTCAGACTCTGGGACTTAAGCTAAAAGCTTGAAGTGGAATATAAATTGATTCTCAGGAATACAGAACATCTTTATAAAAACAGGAGGAATAATTTGGATAGAAAATGTATCCCATTCCCAATAGGATGTTTATAATAATTAAAGAAAAAGGAAAATCATAAGTATTGGCAAGGAAACGGAGAAATTGGAGGCCTCATATATTAGTGTCAGGACTCTAAGATAGTACAGCTACTGTGGATAATTAATTGGCAGTTCCTCAAAAAAGTTAAACATGGAATTACCATTTGATTCAGAAATTCCACTTCTAGTATATACTCAAAAGAACAGAAATAGGAATTCTCACAAATCCATTGTAAATGCATGTTCATGGCAGCATTATTCACAACAGTCAAAATATGGGACCAACCCAAATGTCCATAAATGGATGAGCTAATCAACAGATTGTGATGAAACAAGGAGTCTTCAGAAAGCTTATGGAAAATGAGTGTGATGAAAAATCTATGGATGGATTTCATTTTTTTTTTGCACCAAAGTAAACATCTTTTAATTCAGTTTATCCACAAACTTTTTGAAGAGCCCTCTTCTACATACAATGTGACATTAATCAGTCATCGAAGGAGTAAAGGAATGACACATGCTATAGTGTGGAGTGACCTTTAAAACATCAAGCTAAGTGAAAGCAGTTCAGTACGAAAGGTCATATACGTTTGATTCCATTTCTGTGAGGTGTCCAGAGTTAGTGACTCCATAGAGAGAGGAATTGGATTCCCCATGGTCATGAGCAGGAGGAAATGGGTGGTAACTCCTTAGTGATTATGGATTTCCTTTGGGGATGATGAAAATGTTTCAGAACCAGGTACATTATGAATGTATTAAATGACACTAAATAGTTCATTATAAACGGATTAATTTTATGTTTGTGAATTTCAACTCATAAAAATCATATATAGAAGAAATTAATTTTGTGAATCCCCATTTGATATATCAAATGTCCTCAGCCATCAGGAGCACACTAAAATGTAGATTTAAAATTCAGATAGTCTGGCCTCAGCTTCCACACTCATTGACAGCTGCTGTTGATAGCTTCTGCTGACCAGCTTCCAGATGAAGCTGTTCAGAAAGGCTATTATGCCTCATGGACATGCATCCACCAATGGCTCAGTCATTCACTCAGTCATACAGTTATATAGCACCCACTCCTTAGATCACTTGCCTTCGAGGGGCTTCCAGTCTAATAGGGAAGATCAGGCCTGTGTGTGTGAGTTGGGTTGTGATACTTTAGCATAGAGGCAAAGCGTCTCAACTCTTCAGAGGAGACCACTGAGGGTTGGAGAAGATTTCATGGAGATGTCCAAGTTGAAGTTAAATCTTCACTACTTTAGCATTTTATATGTGCTCCTTTTGCAGCATGTACAATACTGCAGCCTACCTATGAAAATGTCCGTCTTTATAGATTGCAAAACACTTGACAGCAATAACTATGTCTTTATGTTCCAGATGCCTCACAAAAGGAATTTTTCTGAATTACTTGGCACCTGGTTTTTTTTTTTGGGGGGGGGCACAGAAGTTAGGAGTAACTAGTTACAAAAAGATGCACCTAACCTAAGGAAAAAGTAATATATGAGGAGATGAACCCCTGGGATATCGCGCTAACTCCAGAATGACTGTCTTAAGGAAGAACCAGTGTGAGGCTGGGGGACACAGATGAGTGGAAAGAACAGAGATGGGTTTACCATGAAGCCAATTCAGGTGATTCTTCGGAGACCATCACATACTTGCACTGGTGCTGAATTTTTATTCTTTTTCTTAAACAGCATCTCCTGGACCAGCGCCACGGCTTACTAGGCTAATCCTCCGCCTGCAGCGCCAGCACCCCAGGTTCTAGTCCCGGTCGGGGCACCGGATTCTGTCCTGGATGTTCCTCTTCCAGTCCGGCTCTCTGCTGTGGCCCAGGAGTGCCATGGAGGATGGCCTAAGTGCTTGGGCCCTGCACCCGCATGGGAGACCAGAAGGAAGCACCTGGCTCCTGGCTTCGGATCGGCACAGTGCACTGGCTGTAGCAGCCATCTGGGGGTGTGAAACAACGGAAAAGGAAGACCTTTCTCTCTGTCTCTCTCTCTCACTGTCTAACTCTGCCTGTCAAACAAACAAACAAACAAAACAAAACAAAAAAACAGCGTCTCCCAAGTAGTATAAATTTAGGCCCTACAGCTACAACATCTATAACTTCCCTTGGATGAAAGGAATCAAGCTGGTTGGAATCAGAGAGAATCAAGGTCTTTCAGAAGGAGTGGACCCTATTTTGCTCAAGAAGATGTGCTCCGTGGTCACACTGCCCAGAAGAAAATTGGAGCTGCGTGACTCAAGGCTGTGTGATCCAGGGTATATTACTTACCCTCATTAGTTCTAAGGAGAAGTAGCACTCACTGCAGGAGAGTATATCTTCTCACTCACCTTTATTGATTGAGTGCACCCTAAGTATCTGGTCCAGGATAGGAACTCAACAGTAGCAGGGCAAACTATTGGTTGATGTCTTAGTCCATTGCTTTTCTTCTGTTAGTCTACAATAGAATACCTGGAACTATGGAATTTATACAGAGAGAAATTTATATTGACTAACAGAGGCCCAAGGGCACAGTGGTAGCATCACCAAGGTCATTGGAACATGGTAGAAGGGAAATGGGCAGGTGGTCGTGTGTGGGAGAGAGCACGAGAAGCAGCTAAATTCACTTTTACAACCACCCCCTCTAGCAGCAACTAATCCTGTCTTGTGAGACTTACCCACACCCCACAGGAAGGGCATTCATCTCTCTTAATAGCCTCATCATCCAGTAAAGGCCCCATCTCCCACTGTCACCACAATGGCAATCAAATGGTGGGAGGGACAAATCACTTTTCAAACCAAAGCCATTGGGAAGCACACTTTCCATCCACCTTTTGAGAGGACACTGTGAGTTGCAGTGTCTGTATTTTAATCGTGGGACTTGCATCTGATTAAGACTCAAGAGTGAGAGGCTCATAGACCTGCATACATTTTCAACACGGCGGTAAACAAATGGCAGTGCACACCTTGACTCCTCAATGTGAGGACCCAACTGGAGATTTAAAGACCTCATAGATTTCTCCTGGCCTTCATACCGGGAGCGTATTTCAGGTGAAATTCCAAAAGGGGGCCTTGATAAATGATGCAGTAGTTGTTCAGCAACTAATTTATAGGAAAACACACTTCCCCTCCCAAGTTTCTCGTTATGGCCAAGAATGTGTATTGCTAGCAGCAAAGCATTTTTCTTGGAAGGAGCCCAGTGCCTGCAGAATTCACTTTCTCTGATGGTTGTGCAAAGCTAGAGTTTGCCAAATTCCAAGGCTCAGTACATGGGGTGTTTATTTCCATAACCTTTTAATTAAGTTTCTATCTAGAGCTTCTAATTGAATTTTTATATGGCAGCAAGGCAACTTGTCACATACTAACAGCCTCACTGCTGTGCGGCAGAGGCACAGGGAACTCTGTGTGCCAACAATGTCTTCCTTTAAATGCATGTGTTTTAACCATGTGAGGAAGAAGTCAAGTTCAATGGCAAGAGGAATTCTGTCGCTCTGTGGGATTAAGAGATGGGTCACATTTAAGAACTGAGTACAATGTCCCTATCTGGATGAATGGAAATGATTTTCTTACTTCTGCTTAAAATATTTGTTAACCACTAACTTCTTCCCTTTTTTTCTCTATTTTTTTTCCAAAAAAAAATCTGAGAGGTGAGCATTTGATACAGTAGTTAAGTTGCAATTTGGGACCCCCCCCCCCATCCCATATCCAAGTGTCCAGTTCAAGTCCTGGCTACTGCACTTATGATCCAGTTTCCTGCTAGTATGCACCCTGGGAGGCAGTCACGATGGCTCAAGTACTTGGAGCCCTACCTCCCACACGGGAGACCTAGATGGAGTTCTGGGCTCCTCACTTCCACCTGGCCCCGCCCTGGCTGTTTAAGACATTTGGGGACTGAAACAGAAGATGAAGGAGCTCTCTTTCTCTCTTTGTCTCTCTCCTCCTGTCTTTCTCCCTCTCCTCTCCTCTCTTAAATAAAGTGAAAATAATTACATTTTTAAAATATAAAATGAAAATAAACAAGTAACTTTTTTTTAAATCTGAGATTTAATCCAGAACAGACTGTCAACTGAAATATCAAAAATTCTACCTGCAGCATTGAATTTTTCACATCAGCAGCCTACATCCAACACACTCACTTCATGGCATAATCACTATTTCATTCTACTTGACAGGAATGCAGTACAAGTTTCTCTTTTCCATTCTTTTGTTTTTATTAACACAACAAAAAGAAAGGCATTTCTGCTCTGCTCCAATTCAAGGAACCACTCATCTTAAAAAGGGGAGAGTGGCTCTTCCCGCTGAAACCCAGGGTAACCTTAGCAGCACACAGTCTCTATCGAAGGCAAACAGACTGTAAATAACAATCATTTTTGCATTCATAAAAGCTGCCTTTGACAGTCCAAGAAATAACAAATTATAAGTGAATAGTCCCCAAGAGATTTGAAAGCACCTTAATCGCTCTGGATCGGTTTTGAGGCTGTTTTTTAGCATAGAATTACTAACTCCTTTGAGGAACTACAACCACATTTGTGATTTCTGGGTGTTCTACCTAAACAGAAGTGGAGACAGCAAAGTCCACTGTCAGTGATGTTTTTGAAAAATTAAGAGAACTAAGATGTTTGAGTACCTCAATTACTCAAGTCCTTTATATTAGAAATATAAGTGGATGCAAAAGAAATATATTGCCTGTTCTTAGGAAGTTCACCACGCAGGGAGCCACGACACACTCATTTGCTCCTCATCTACTGTATGGGAGGAAATTCGTACAGTGTTGGTGTAGGCATTCCTATAGAGTGGGTAACACTGAAGAATGCATCTCAACCTAAATACAAAGTGTTGACCTATAAGCACGTGAGGCAAGAAATGAAGGTAGAATAGAGAGAACTCTCGATTCAAGTACTAACTGGGCCTGACCTTGCTTAGCTTCCAAGATTAGACAAGAGTGGGTTTGTTCAGGGTGGTATGGCTGTAGACAAGAGAGCTCTCTCCATGCAGGAAGTAGCCTAAGTCTGGGCAAAACACTGAAACCTTTGGAGCTGAACTTGTCTTTATTGTAAGAGGCCCTTCCCACTTAGAAAATGCTCTGCTTACAGTCCTAGAAACAAACTGATCAGACAACTGGAACTGTTGCAGTCTCCTCAGGCAGGTGCTATTCAAGGATGCAGAAATAAGACCAGGTGATAAAGACGAATCAAGGATTAGTCAGATGAGCTGTTCACACAATGCACAATCAAAGAGCACCCAATTGTGAAGACTTTTGAACTACATAACTAGATTATTATTCTGTTTTTATATAATAACAGAATCCTTAAATGGAATTATACTTAAGACTGAGAAGAGGCAGCTGGTGGTAATGTAGGTATAATTCTATCAAGAAATTCAGCTGAAGTCGTAATGCAACCATGAAATGCTTAGGTGATTTGATTTGTACACATATCTACTATTTCCAGAAAATGACTATTCCTACAATCATTTAAAACATAATTCTTACAGTTTATTTTATATGAACGGATTTCTTTATCCCCAAATGGCTGTGTGACCCCAATTTTTTGTCATGTATACTTTATCACAGTAATGGAAAATAAGTTACCCACTATATTCCAAAACTGTTTTTGCTTTCAAGTGCTATGGCTCAAATCATAGATTTACAATCTAATGAAGCTTTGCTACATCATTGCATTCTGGCAGTTAAACAGGAGTTTTTACCTGATTCAAAACTGGAGCTGATCCTGCCTAAGGCATTGAAGAGGAATTCCATGAGTTAATAATTAGGGGAATTTCATTCTTAGCTTCAACATAGACAATTATTTCAGTTTTAAATATTGGGGTCACATTTTTATGTAACAGTGTATTCAAAGAGCTATCTGCAAAATATGCAAGCCTCAGAAGGCCTTTAGTTTTCCGTTAGATGTTTCCAAAATAGTAAACCAACAGTTTGGCTCTGGGTACCTGGGGTGAAGGGACAATTAGAAGGGAGCCTGGTTTTGAAAACACGACTTGATGCCATGTTTTTCCCAAGAAGAAAACGTAAAAGATGCTAAGTCATGATTACTCCAATCGCTGTGTGGTGATCATTACTCTTAAACAACAGTTACCCCAGGGAATTAAAATTCAACTAGATAGTACTGCTTGATATAACCACAAGTTATTAAGCTGTATAAAATCTTTGTATTTGCAGATCAAAAACAGTTGAACATTGCTATTTTCATGGAATTCAATCAACTACTTCAATTTAGATATACTTTTCTACATTTAGTATGTGTTTCATAACTTTATAAATCATATCTGCTGCCACTCTAATTTAATTCCTAATTGAATGATGAATTTCCCCAGAATGTTATGGACTTTTCCTCTCATAAATTCTTCCCTAAGAAAGGTTGTATGGATGCTGGATCATTTTTGCATAATTATACATTAATAATTATGCTTTGATTTTTGACCTCGGGCTAGAGGATAGCATAACATTTTAATATCACACGGGTTGCTCTAGAAATCACTATCAATACTGAAAAAGCCACTCTTCAGTGTGAAGTCCCAGCCACAGAGAGTTCTACTGTTTGATGAACAAACTCCTCCAACAGAACACAGTAATCCTGGTACTCTTAATATTCCATATATTCAAATCCATGAATAACAGTTACTGAACTCTCAGTGCACACATGTTCCAAGAGTCTGGCCATCACAGAGAGCAGCCAGTATGGTACACTTGCACACCAAGCCTTCAACAATGGAAACAGTATTTGGGCAAAATGTAGAGCACTGCAGGGGGATTTAATTAGATTAAATCTGCCATCCCTCGGTTCAGTAGCAGAGGGGAGGCAGTGCATGAAAGCACAGTAACACCACTCCTGACTTGGAACAAGTCCACCAGGCTCTGCCCTTGGAAGCTCAGAGTAGGGCGTGCTTTGTGAATTTACTTCGCAGCAGCAGAAGTAAAGAAAAACTTGGCCTCTCCTCTTAGCTCTTCCACAAAGACACAAGATAGGCTTTGAAGGCTGCAGGCAGGAGAAATTCCCCCAGGTTAAACTCCAGGGAAAAGTCTACGCTTTGTCTTCCTTAGAAACTCATAAAGATACTGGTGTAATCTTTAAGGACTGTCAAGACTCCTTCCAATCTGGAATAGGCCAAGTGGCTCAGGTTCCACTGGAAACTCATGGGTCACAGGAAAAGAAAAGCATGCTGGGGGGGAGGGAGCCAAGGTGAAGGACACGGGCATTTCCCACTGCCAAGAAAACCAAGGGAGATTCTGGTCCACTGAGAGGCAGGTGGCAGGAGAAAGGGAAGCTGGAGAGGCTAAGAGGCAAGTCTGTTGGCACGCAAGTGGGTTTCAACTTTTCTCTAAAACTCTTCACGAAAAGAATCCGACTTCCAGAAAGCACAAAAGGAAACCCACTGCTAAAAAACTCAAAAAAGATTTTACTTCTGAAATGTACATTGTGAAAAAATGCAAAAGTTCATATTAAACCAAGCAAAACTTCAAACACAAATGCCTCACATACAAAAACCATATGATTCCTTCCATTGTGTTTGATATACGTCAATACGCACTTTTTGCCAAAATTCTCGTTTCTGTGTGAAGAGAAAAGCATAAATTCTCTTTAAATTAAAATGTGTATATCTAGACCATATTATCTGTGTACTGCTTGATAGTGGCACTCAACAATTCATTAAATAACAGACATTTTAAAAAGGACCTTTAAAAAAGTTCCCCGTACTTAGTGTTTCAAAGACCACTGAGTCCTCTTGCAATTGGGTTAAGAAGGAAGTGATGGCTCAGGGGTGGGTAAGCACAGACTCCCCCTGTGGGGAGCAACTCAGACTAGACTAAGTTACTCGAATTAAGACTTATTCTATGCATCTGCTCTCCCACAATATGGCGCTGGGAGAGGAGGAAACAGCTTATACACAGCTGCCTCCAGTTCAACCAATAAACAGCAGGACCTGCTCCTGATTGGAGGAGAGCAGCGTACTCGGCGTGTGGGTAGCAGAGTTGGGATTGGTGGAAGAGGACTATAAAGGAGGAGAGAGACAACATGCACTGGGGAACATCTATCTAGAGGAACACCTGAGGAACATCTGAGCAGCCCCCTAGAGAGCCGGCCGGCGGTGTGCCGCTCCCCCGCGGAAGTGGGGAAGGTGGCAGGGGGAACCGCCCTTCCACAGAGGTGGAAGGGTCGGTAGCCAACCTGGGAAGAACCAGCAGCAAACCCGGGAAGGGCCGAGCAGACAAAAAAACAGCGCAGGGTCCTGTGTCGTTCCTCCGCGAAGAGGGGGAGCGACATCCCACTGTCTCACAGTAAAATTGGATAGGGGACAAAAGTTGGATTATGGGAATGGAAAGAGTTGATACATTTGGTTGCAAAATTAGATAAATTTCACCATAGAAGCAAAACAGAAATTTGTCACTTGTGCTGTCGGTTTGCCTGAGAGTACCTCTGTCTAGACCTTCTCACTGAGACACACAGACACATACAGGAAGAAATTCTCAGGGCTAGCAATAGAAATGCCTTCCCACTAGCTATAAAGCAAAAAGATTACACAGGACATTTTAATATCTCTTTAGAGTGATCTAATAAGGAAAATATATTTGCTTTCCAAGGAAACATATCAAATAAGGTAACTGATTCAATATGTAAGAAAAAACTTCCATTAATATTTTTCATAAAATTGCTTAATAAAAAACCTTACATATGAAAATAATTTTTCACTTAAATAGATTTTCCCTTTGATGTTAATAGACTTAGCTGCTAAAATTAATTTTACATTTTTCAAAACAAAACCAACTAATATAAAACATAGGCTTTGTTATGATCTATGAAATTATTTTTAATACTTCTTTGTACCCTTGAGCAATTTAAAATCTATGAAGTAATACATTCTTCGTAGGAAACAATCACTATGGTGATTCTGAAACCCTAATTTTTAGATTAAACAAAGCGTTCGGCTTTAGAGTTTATCAAGACAACTAAATGAAATTCAAAATTGCCTTGAAATATTATCAGCAGGTAATAAAATGTTTAGAGATGATTGAACTGTTTTTATAAGAAATGCAGACTTTTTATCCATTACAGTTGGGGTGTGAATAGTGTAAATTAATGCAGGTAAATACTTCAGCTAAGTGCTCTCGGGCGAATTGCAATCAAAATTAAGACCTGTAATTTAACAAGATAAAGTCACCTTTAACTTACTCTTTGTTCATTTCCGACAAGGAAAATTAAATGTCATTACCAAAATAAAGCATTATGGAATTAAAACAATCTCTGCAATAATTTTTAGTGCCTTTCAATTTACTCAGTGTTATATGGAGTTATAGAATTTATCCCTGAGTCCTATTAAATCACCCTACAATTTCATAAACTATTCTCCCCATAAATAGAAAAACTCACAGCTAACCACTAAACTGAATCCATCTGAAAATATGCCATCAACTATCTCACCATGAACTTGCTGGTTTTCAATCTAATATCCTAACATAGACTTTGATCACTATCATATTTTCCTTCCTAAATTCAATTGCAAAATTACAGACTAATTTCCTTATTCAATACAAGTCAATCCAATCTAAACATAAAACACTAAGGTGATACAACAACAGCTATCCGTGCTGAATAAAGATTTTAGTTAAAATAAAAGACAAAACATTGACCACATAAGGACTTTCAGCTTACAGTACGAGTTAGGTTGTGTAAGAATGTCATGATTCATTGAGAGGTAGCACTATGAGAACTTAATCCCGTCAACAATCTGGTGTTAGACTGGCTTATCTGTGACATTCCCAAAAAGGTTTATCTAAGAAATACACTTAAGGTTTCCTTTAGTGTTCCCTATTATAAAAATTTAGATAGTTTTAGCTTTTCCTAGCCAGTGATGATAAATTATTGCAATATGAAGTCTGAATTTCATCACAGGCCATTCCTTGGTATGGCAATGATCACAATGAAAAGTAGACACTCAAAGACAAAGTGTGGCAAAGGCAAATATGCCAGAGGATATGATATAACCCCTATCTGGGGAACCTCAGACATTATACCTATAAATATTCACATTTCAAATAAAACTTAGTATATTTCTACAGCAAATAACTATGTTAGCTGGCTCAAGGAATATTATGATGATGAGTGTGAGTAGGACTCTGTTGTATATTTTAACTCCTTTTAACATAATAAAAATAAGTAGTCTTTGCTTACAATCCTTTGTTATCAAATTTCATATTTATTTGCTTTTACTGACAAAATTTCCAATAATCAAATGGTTGAAATGGACAAAGGAAGAGGCTTTAAAGAATAAAACTATGTGGACAAGAGGGAGGGTAGAGGGTGGGGAAGCATCACTATGTTCCTAAATCTGTATATATGAAGTACATGGAACTTGTGTAACTCAAGTAAAATTTAAAAAAAAATAATAAAATTCTAAATAAAAAAAAAAAAGAATAAAATTGGATATATTGTAGCTAAATAAATAACTTTTGGTAAAGCAAAAATTTACAGTGGACTCAATGTGTTATCAAGATTTAAAAATACATAATTATTTTCCAAATGGTCTACACTTTGTAAAGGGGGACAAGGTGACTAATGATGAATAATGTGCCCTTGAATTAGATGACTTTAGATCTTGACACTTAGTACTACATTGACTGTAGGACGTTTTAAATATGCTCAGATAGTCAGTGAAGATAAAAACACATTAAAAGCAAGAACACTATACATAGGCAGCAGAAAGAAATTAAAAATTAAAACATAAAATTCGTCAGGTCATAAAACCATAATTTAAAAAGTCCTCTGAGGCATTCTACCATGATTAACATAAAAAGTTGCAACATTTTCAATTAAAAGAGGAGATAATTCATTATAAACTGAAATGTAGACCTCTCCAAGTTTTATTACGGATAGGTCCTTTCAAAGATCACCAAAAAGGTTAAACAACAGTACCATGAAAAAAACTTTTTCTATCATTATCTTGGTGTTATATTCAAAGCATTGAACATCATGAACTATCCATCACCATTTGTACATCATCCTTACTCAGCAAAGAAAATACACTATTTACTGCTAGCAATTATTTTGGGAAAAGATTAGTAAACTCCTTAATTATCTTGATATGCCAAATAAAAGCCATTTATTTTACTTGTATATAGCTAGATGACACTTTATAGTTGACATTTTATAACTCTCAAACAGAAAAACTCAAATCTAAGAAATTCTAAATTCTCAAGAATTGATCTGTCAGTCATCTTTTTGGAAAGATTAATCACAATGTACTTATACACAGTAAATCCAGAATAAAAACTGAACGAATTTCCTAAAGCCCTGCTTTTCTTATGCTAATTCCCACCAAAAAGTATTTACAGCTTTATTACGACTTTAGCAGCAGCTCTCAAAGAGAATTTCTTGGGTTGGTAACAGGTGTTGCATGAACATGGCCCATGTGGGTTAAATTGCATTACAAGTGTTCCCATATGGTAAGAATTACCCAAAATATTAATAAGCTAACATTCAATATGAAACTCCAAAGGGACATATGGTATGTAACAAACCCTAAACAGGTCTGTTCTGTGTCTCTCAGATCATCTCATTGTACTACTCCTTTGCCAAAATCACTTTGCGAATGTGGCTCTGTGTGATCGAACCCCTTGGCCAGTCATCCAAATTCCCCTTCTTTCTAGTCTCAGTTCTTACATCCCCAGTACAAGCTATCAAATACAATAACTTCTGTGTCGCATCTCCTATTATCAAACACACAATTGCCCTGAACCCACACCAATCTCCTGGAAGGTACATGATATGAAAGACACATTTTAATGTGATTTTCTCTTTTGCATTTCTGTGTACGTGCTCACTTGTGAGTATAAGACACCAACATACCCAGTACTGAGAGGCCCTGGACTGTGGTAGAAATGAATGAAAGAAAGGGAGAAGGGGAGGAAAAAGTCAGTATTCAGCCTTTGATGACCAAACAGAATGTCTGCATTGGGTCAACAGTCACGAAGGTCAGGACTGGAAGAGGAACGAATATGTTGAGGTCCTATTTACTTTCTCATTTAGCTTAGGGAGAGCCAAGCCAAGGCATAGATCTTAGAATCTATTATATGCCAGTAGCAGGGAGACCTCAGGATGTAGAATAGCATTCCAGAAGGACTGTGGGAAAGGATGACACAGAGGTAAGGCAAGCAGAGAAAGGTACCTTGAGCTCTCCTGCTTATTTCATATCCCAGTGAGCAGGAGTGTCAGATTGGCTGTGGGAAAAGCTGAAGGCACAGAGGCTGTTGCCCTGCCTTCTGCAGAGGATATTGGGAAGAGACTTGTTTCAAAGGGTGCCTGGAACGAGCTGGAAGGTCCAATGGTTGGATGCCCTGAAGGATTCTCGGGTTGCTAGCAGACTTGAGCTAGCTGAGCTGCTTTAGGGAGAAAGTCACAAGTTCCCTGTGCTTGCAGGAAGGAGAAGGCAGCTGGATGTGCCAGTTGTGAACTCTCCAGCAAAAACTACTCATGTAGCCTGGCTACAGGATGATCATACAGCTGGCGGCCACATGGGAGTTAGCTAGACCTCAGGAGAACGAGCCATGGCAGGCAAGTCAAAACTACAGCTCACAGCAGCTGCTGAAGGCCCCACACAAACCCTGACTCAGCTCTGCTGGTCCTGGCCATGCCCAGTGCACACATGAGAACCAGTATACCACCAGAAGGCAATCCCCAAGCCCCCTCGTGCAGCCATGAAGGGTGGGGTTACAGGTGCACAGAGCAGAGAGGATCTCTGCCAGGACCAAAAGGAGTTGAACTCTGCCCTTATTTTTTTTGGGGGGGGGCAATGGAAGAGACTGTTTAAATTAGAAAAGATTTGAGACATGCTACTCACCAAGTCCAAATTTCTCGCACCTGGTATGGTGAACATTCCAAAAGATCAGATCAATCACAGAAAAATCAACTATGTGTTCTCAACACAGCTGACTGAGCAGATTCCAATACCCCCGTTCTCCCAGGGCATTTTTTTCTACACCAGGCTTCATATCCCATCTCGCATCATCTTTTTCAGGCTGGCACAGCTTGCATTCCCCTCCCCCACCCGACTGCAGCTTCTTGAGGACAAGGATACACTATCCTTTTTGTGATCCGCGTAGCCCTTGCACAAGGCACTAGAAGCAAGGCTCCATACGATACCATTCATAACTCACTCCAATTCCATGATATATTTGATCAATATATTTGGATATATGGCAAATGCTATGTATAGAATCTAGCATAATTAAAAACCTGATGTTGAGGAAGTATACTATCTTGTAGCTACTGGCACTACATAAGAACTTTCAAACAGTACAGAAACGAATGTTGAGTAATTATCACTCACATAATTTGATAGTGTTGACAGCAGTGGAAATTTGGTATGGTCATTTAATGTTAGAGAGAGCGAGAATGACATTTTCAGTAAGAAAAACGAGGCTATGTTAGGTAAGTTGACTGGTAGAAACCTGATTGCAAAGTGGAAGATCTTCATGGTAGAAGTAGACTTTATCTCAAATAAGGTATTTTCAAGTTCTCTTTGTAGGGAAAATAAAACTCAGCCACCTCGCCAAATCTGACCTTTCTGCATGGCTTACTGAATAAATGAAAAGAATTTAAAGACAACAAAGGAACATCCCAGACCAAAACTGGGTTACACGTTGGAACCAAAGAGTCATTATATTACTGCTGCCTGAGTTAAGGGGATGGAGTTAAACACATCACATTTGTTCACTCCTGTTTTTTTTTTTTTTCCTCCCCATCATAGGAATTGTATAAATGGGTAGCCCTTGGCCTTTTCAAACCTATACCACCATATTTCATTTATGGCATCCAATAAGGTCAGAGGCAAAGATTAAAAACCTCCCAGAATGGGCTAACTTTGTCAATTTAAAATGTGGTTCACATTAGACCATTGTTAAGCAAGTCGTTCAAATAACACCTTGGTCCACATGTCTGTGGGTCTCTGATAGGCTTCAAAGTCTTGGGAAAAGCCTATGCAAGTTTGAAATCTAACCTTCTTCACCTTTCCATCTTTCTGCCTCCTGTTTTCTGATCTTTTTAATCCAGAATCTTTAATAGAAAAATTCTGTGGCAGGACTGAAAACAGCATGGGGTCAAATCCCATACAGGTAATTTAAAGCAACATCTATAGTCTTTTGATCGTTTCAAGAGCAATTTAGCTGACCTCTGGGGACTCTTCTTCAAACGTTAAACACACACCAATACAAGTGAAACATATTTTATGGTCATATTATCAAAAGCAAAACAAAAGCCACACAGATATAAATGTTTATATAGAAGTCCCTTCAAGCAACAAACTACATAACTCTCACGTAAACCAATGAAAATAAAAGTGAGACTTTTTTGGCTAAGCAATAAGGAGGAGTGGATAATGGAATATAGCTGGATCACATTCAATCCAGTAATCTTAAGCAATTACCTAGGACAACCAAGTACATGTTATACGTGGGGACATTTCATTTCCAGTATTCCATATAAAAGACAAGGTGGTCTAGCATTTTCTGTGTTGTCTCAAATAAGTGGAGGACTCAACCACCAGAAGATAAGATAAAATAAATCATCACATGTTGTGTGTACTCCACTAAGGAATTTTATGTGCAATCAAAGGATGCTTTCTCCCCACTGCTATTCGTTTCACTTCCGGATTACTCCTTGGCCAATCTTTCAAAGAAAAGAAATCTTGGTCCCAACAACAAACCTAGAAAAACAACAACTCTCAATTCCCGGCATAGAAAAAGAAATATGTAAAAAAAAATTGTCCATATCAGTATAAAGGGAAAGATAGGAATGTATCAGATTTGATAACTTAATCAAACAGCGCTGTGAGGTAGGCCTTAGTTACCACACTGTGCCAAGAGCCAATGGACCATCCGACAGGATAGACAAGGCCACTGCAATACCGGAGGAGGAGACAAAAAGACTATTGAAGATCCTTGGGAACAATAGCGCCAAATAATACAGTCTCACTGTTCATAAGTAGCAAAACTTCAGCAAAATGCCTCTCTAAGGAGTTTTACCAAAATCTGAATGAAGGTCATTTAAAAATTCCAATAAAGGCAAAAAGAAGTTTTCAAAAAAGCAAGCAAGCAAAGAAAACCCACATAAAGAGAATGTGTGAAAGGCAAGTTTTCATCAACACTTAATCACTCTTGGGCCCTTTTCCAGGCTTGTGAACAAAGTGTGTGACAACTCCAAAGTAAAGCTCAGAAAAAATCACCTGAGAGAGACTGAACACGCGGCAGCATTCTCAATCTGAAGCCTGTCCAAGTCCTCTCACGCCTTCTAGGTTGCTTTTTGGTTTTCACAGGCAATGCACATGCAGCTTGGCAAAAGCACACGTCCCCCAACAAAATGACCACTTACCTGACGAATCAACATTCCCCGAAGCTCAAAGAGAAAACGCCACTTACCTAGGAAAAGAAGAAAGTAATACAGAGATTAAGATGTTATCTCTGAAAGGCAATTACAGCACTTCTTGGATTATCACAGTCCCTGTACTGCCAGTATTTTCTCAATGAACATCATTAACTTTTTATAAGAAAACCCAGTTTGAATTTATTTATGCAGGAAGGGAGTTTAGTGAGGAATGAGCAAGTCTTCAAACAATCCAGCGTTGTGTTGTTGCAAAAACCCCTGTAAGCTAATTGCACCCTAACCGGCTGTGACACATATTCACAGGCAGAGCAAAGGGGGGAAACGTTCTGAAATGATCTGCAAAGACCAGAAACACATGGTTTTGTTGTTGTTTGCCAGCAAAGCCAACAATAGTCAGAAAACCAAGTATCGAGTGGATTTGGCAATGAATCTACATCAGTTTATCAAAGGAAGGATACGGTTCCCTAAGCCAGAGCTCAAGCTTCCCAGCTTGCAGGCGACTCCACCAGGTGAGTTGCAGAGGACTGATCAGCAACACACTGTTGGACCAGCTTGTGGGTCCCCCAAGTCTCAGATCGGTGATTGTGGAATAATTTTAAGTTAACTCTCATCCAAGATATTTTTAGTTGCCAAGTTATTCAAAGTGTGGAACATTTATAATTTCTATGAACCTTCTAATTTCACTCATTAATTGGTGTCATAAAGTGAAAACCCTTTGGCTCTGTTACTTCAGCTACATTCCAGGAAACAGATGAAAAGCAGTGTAGTCACTGTGCACTAGAAATTAGACTGTGTCTAAAATTCACTGTAGCTATAGTCTCCAATATATAAATACTTACTTTCAGTGGCAGGATGCTTAAACTACAGAACAGTCTTTCATCTGAAAGTTTAAGTCTCTAAAAGGTGAGAAGGGATTTATAAAGAAATAATGGCACATGGAACATAGCTGGAAGTAACCAGGAGATGAAGAGTAGGAAAGAGTTTATAGGTCAAAGTCGCCTTTACCACTCTAAGAAAACATTCCTAGCTGCCCCATTCATTAATTTATTTAAGAGTTGTTTATTGAACATCTACTGTGTACAAAGCAGCATCCCAGGCATTGTACATAAATCAGGAACTTACAAAAAACTATGTTGATGTTCCCAGAGCTCATGGGAGAAAACATCAAGAGAGTGGAAGAGAAGAGTGCTCACAAGACATGAACACATTAACTACTGTAGAAGATGTGCTGATTCAGGTTAGGGTGGCCAGGAAGTGTTCAGGGAAAACATTTAGAGCATACTCAGGGGTGGGGAAAGATTTTGGAGAGACGGTTGTGAAGTTTTTCCCAGTGGTGTGTGAGAGTCTTGGCTAAGTGAGATACAGCAAAGAAGCCAATCTATGCAAGGTCCCACTAGTAACCAGTTTTAGCTCAGGACCCTCTCATAAAGAAGTGAATCAGTGGATGCTGGATCTCTTTCTCTCTGTGTCACTCTACCTTTTGAATAAACAAACAATAAATCTTTAAAAATATGTATAAGATACACACAGGGAGAATGTCCTATGAAGACAGTCAGATTTGAGTGAGGGATCTACCAGTCAGGGATTTTAAGGACTGCTAGCTGTCACCAGAAGCTAAGAAGAGGCGTGGACAGATTCTTATTAGAGCTCTCATAAGGAACAATATTTGCTCATACCTTGATTTCCAACTTCCAGCCTCCAGAATTATGAGACAATCAATTGCTGTTGTTGAAGCCACCTGGTTTGTGCTACTTTGCTACAGAAACTCTGGGAAACAATGGAGATTCACAGAAAGGCAAGAAGTGAATCATTGCTACAACAGTCGATGGTCCTTCAGGGTGAGAATTTGTATTAGTTTGTATTAGCTCTGAAAATCAGAAGCGAAGACAAGTTTTTTTTTTTTTTTTTTTTTTTTTTTTTTTTTTTTAAGGAAAGATACTTCATGATACAGAAATGAAGTTGAGAGACTAGAAGGGAACAAGAGAGGGAAGGCTGGGCAGAGGCTTCCTTTACTGTAGTCTAAGCAAGGTTGGGCAAAGCCAAGAGGAAGCCTTTCAGCCTCTCTTTGATAAGCTGAAGACTGGCACCCTTGCATTCCCATATCCCACACTGCGCCCAGTCAATGGGGAAGAGTTAGAGTCATTGACCCCAACGAGTGGCCCTGGTGCAGTCGTTTAGTCAGGAAAACAGCAAGCATGTTCTCATAGCCTCTGAGCAGTTGGGAAACCAGGGAAGGAAGCTGAAAAGTCTGGGGTTGGAAGCAGAGGGCCCAAGAGCACGAGGTGTATTGCGATGAGTTCAGTTTTAACAAGTTCAGAATTTTAGGCATCAATTGTACATTCAGGACACACAGGAGAGAGAGAGGGGATGCAGATTTCTGAGTTCTCTGAAAAAAGGCTCCAGTTCCAGGAGAGTGGAGGAGATTGCGAAGGGTCGGAGTGCAGCCAGAGAGAAGGAGGGAGCTTTGAGAAAATCATGAACACTATATCTGGGGGACTAGGAAGGCAGGTAGGAAGAGGCCTCTGAATGAAAGAGGTTCGGGAAGAAGAGCGTGAGAGGCAGGAGGCCAGCTGGGTGGGGCCGTAGGCTCCTGGAGGCAGGAAGGGGTTTGCCAGGAGGAGCAGCTCTCCAAGTCAAACAGGCAGAGCAAGCCAAGATTTCATCTCTGATTGTGATCAGAAAGAAAGAGCTATACATTGTGCAGGAAAGCGAGGGCCCTTGGCAGATAGGGCTCTTTCGAGAAACTGATTGAGAAGAAAGCCTGGTTCCAAGGCATAAGAAATGAGTTGTGTCAGCTCAAGGCATGGGCCAGCAAGTCAGACATTATATTTACTATTTTCCTGGTAGTAAGTAGGAAAAAGGTGGGAATCAAGAAGAAAAACAATGGGGCCAGCGCTGTGGCATAGTGGGTAAAGTCACTGCCTGCAGTGCCAACATCCTACATGGGCACTGGTTCAAGTCTCGGCTGCACCACTTTTGATCCAGCTCTCTGATATGGCCTGGGAAAGCAATGGAGGATGGCCCGGGTCCTTGGGCCCCTACAGCCACATGGGAGACCCAGAAGAGGCTCCTGACTCCTGGCTTCAGATTGGCACAGCTCTGGCCATTGCAGTCATTAGGGAGTGAACCATCAGATGGAAGCCTCTCTCCCCTCCCCCATTCTGCCTCTCTGTAAATCTGCCTTTCAAACAAAATAAATCTTTTTTTTTAAAAAAAGATGAAAAACAAAACAGTCTTCTGAGGAACAATTTTTGGCATTCAAGAATAACACTAAGAAGTCACTATCAGAAAAATGATGTTATGATGCATACAGTGGCTCTCATGTCCCCAGCTATCTATAAAACATTGAGGGTATCTTATGGGGTTCATATCCTCAAGCACGTGAAGCAAGAGACCAGCTCCAGGATAAAGTAAGCAGCAGATGTACTTTGCTCAAGTTACACTATTTCCAATGCTATTGTTGCTATCTTTCACCAGATGAGAAGATTTCATCTCTGATTGTGATCAGAAAGAAAGAGCTATACATTCATGGTCTCTTCTTTCTCCTAATTGGGAATTCTCATAGCAATGGTTATGAGTCTGAAACTCCAGCTGCAGCTCTTCCATGGGAGCTCTTAGCCAACGACTAGCGGACCGATTCCTACCCACAGTGTGGGACCCTGCTCCTACCTACCCACAGTGTGGGACACTGCTCCTACCTACCCACAGTGTGGGACCCTGCTCCTACCTACCCACAGTGTGGGACCCTGCCCCTACCTACCCACAGTGTGGGACCCTGCTCCTACCTACCCACAGTGTGGGACCCTGCTCCTACCCACCCACAGTGTGGGACACTGCTCCTACCTACCCACAATGTGGGACACTGCTCCTACAGCCGCCACACTGACCTCTGCTGTTGCTCACTGCCTGAGGAGCTTCCCTAGGCTCCCAATTCCCTTCTCTGGCTTCTAAGTTAAACAAAGGAGCAGGTGTTGTGGTGCAGTACGGCAGGTTAAGCATCCTCCTATGACACTGTCATCTCATCTGGACACTGGTTCAAGTCCCTGCTGTGCCACTTCCAATTCAGCTCCCTGTTAATAAGCCTGAGAAAGCAGCAGGAGCAGCCCAGGTACTTGGGTCTCTGCTACCTAGTGAGGAGACCTGGAGAGAGTTTCTGACCCCTGACTTCAGCAGAGCCCAGCTCCCACCATTGTGGCCATTTGGGGAGTGTACCAGAGGGTGGATGAGCTTTTTCTCTGTCTCTCCCTCTTTCTAACTCAGTCTTACAAATAAATAGATTCATATTCTTAGAACTGCATCTATAAACTATACTGAATCTGTTAAAAATTAAAAACTAAAATAAAAAAGTCTAAAAATCTTTTAAAAAAGTTAAGCAAGGCATTTCTTCATACTGTTTTAGTCTGTTTTTCTTTACCATGACAAAATACCTGAAGCAGTCTACCCTGTATAGAACAGAGGTTTATGTTGGTTCATGGTTCTAACATTCAAAGCCCAAATAGTATGACACAGGCTTTGGTGGGACTGCCCCTGACTGCACCACATCCTGATAGGAGTGCACCTGTGTCTGTCTGGTCTTTCTCTCTGTCCTGACAAAGCCACCAGGATTCAATCATGGGGTCCCACTCCAATAACCTAATATGATCTAATCACTTTCTAAAGGTGCTGCTCCTGAACACCAAAGGTAAATTTCCGTTCTTAATAGCATTAACATAAAGCATTGGGGATTCATCTCCTGCATGAATTCAGGCTGACAAATCATATTCAGGCTATGACAAACACAGATGTCCTGCTGTCTAAAGATCAAGTCAAAAGGACTATTCTCCCATATCTTTATATTGGCTTTTATTTTGCATCTGTTAGAAATCTGATTATTAGAGTGAAACTGAGACCCAGGAAATAGTAATTCTCCCCAAACCAGAGAGCTTTGAGTGTTAGAGCTAGATGAGACTACTTCCTGGTTCTCATAGCTTTGCCCTTCCTCTTGTACCACCTCAAGTGTAACTCAACACCATCTGCTGGTAACTGTGACTATTAA